AAAAAAAATAAACACACAAATTAAATACAAACAGACAAACAAACAAATGGAAGTTACAATTCCAGTGGCAAAAATTGTACCTTTAGGGTTAACAAACTGGATAACTGCATCATCCTTGAAAATATTAACTTCCTCAATTGCAGGTATGGCATTCACCCCTATTCTCTTCAAGGTGCTCTGAAGCCTTTTGTCATCAGTCGTTGTAGTCTTGTGCACAGCCTTCTTCTTTCTGCAAACCAATGAAGAAATCGTTTAAGAAGCGAAAGATGTAGTAATAGTCTCTAGTACAGTTTTCGACATAACATGTTCGACTTATTAAGGGTACTTCTCTTCTGCATACACAATTTCATTTGAAAAACCTAGCTTTGTTTATCAATATTACAAGGACAGAAAAAATAAACAGCCATTAAATACAGACCTTCTCATGGTACCCTTTCCACCGGTGCGGACCGAGCCAGCCATCTTCTGTAATTTTTCCACATTCATCTGCAATCGAATAAAAACAATCAGGACTGTAACTCTAAATTAAAACTGCACTAACCCTTGAATGTTCAGCACTAAAAAAACAGAAAAGGGTGATTCTTCTCACAGATGAGAAGACTAAGATGGACAATAAATTGCTTGTGTGAACATAACTTCCCAATAAAACCTATAAACATAATTTATCTAACAATTTTGAGGTAAGAATCAACCTAAAGAACAAAAGCTCTAGCTTTATGTTGATTGGTTCACTAAACGAAATGTAACTGCACGTTACAAAATTCTAGAAATAATTTTACACGGCCAACTTCAAGCAATAACTTCTGTTCTATGCACAGCCATCAAACAACTTTAAAAGAAAAAAAAAAAAAAACAGGTATAGAATGCATAAATAAGGGGGATAAGCAGGTCGGCTAAGCAAACAAATGACAATACCGAAAAAGAAATGAAGTAGCATCCAACAAGGAAGAGTACATAAACTCCCTTAAGAGATTCAAATTCAGCTACAGTTATGTTTATTAATTGTAAGTCAACTAAGACGAACTACAAAACAATCAGAAGCTCGAAAACACAAATTCACGTGTAATTGAGGTTTCCAGACGAGAAATCAAGATGAAGAAAAATCTCAAAACAAAAAAATAACCCCAAAGCAGGATCCAATGAGGAGGCTTCATAATTCAAATCAAGAGACGCTCAGGAACACAAACACACACACACACATACAGCCGAGACATTGACTAAAATTAGATCGAACAATTAAGGAAAACTAAATTTCCATCAGCCAGTAGAAGAGTACGGCAAATGGAATCTAGAAAGAAGAAATTACCTCTGCCAACTGCGAGGAAGAGCCGACCGAGTAAGAAGGTAGAGTGAAGAGCGAATGGAAATGAGCAGTGGATAATGTGGAAATAAAAACCCTAGCGTGCGTTCATTGTATATAGCGAAACAAAGACAGGGAGATAGTTTGGGATTTTTTTTGGGTCCGAGTTAAGGATGACTGATAAGCCCATTATCATTGGAGACTTCAAAATAGGAGAAGCCCAAGTAGACCGAGTCCTCATACGCAAACTACATCCGTGCAAATGCAAGAGATTTTTTCTTTTATTTTCCCACCGTAGCATAGTGAAGCAACCATAGCTGTCAAACACATGTCGACTGAAAGAAAGTATGTACAAATAGTATTGCTGATCTTAGCTATGCCTTCAATTTCATCTAACAAAGATACAAAGTGTGGCAAAGTTAAAGACCGATACCATAACTGACACAACTGCTTATTATGAGCACTGAGAAAGCTTCTTTGCCTCAGCTAAATCGACCTTTATTACTTCAATGTTTTGAGCAGATTTAACGAATAGCCGAAGAATCTGAAGGATAAAAATATAATAGTGATTGAAATGCTTATTTCAAGTCCAATTTCATTAAGAATTGAAATGCTTTCAAAAAATAAAGAATTGCTTGCTCACAACATGATGATGAAATTTCATATTCATTCTTACAAAAATTCTAGAAACGGTAAAAAGAAATCTATATATATATAATTGCTAGTTAAGCAATAAATTTTACCTAATAAATAAAACCTAATAAATTTTACCTATGTGGCAAATCATTAATAAAATCTAATAAATAGAACCTAATAAATTTTATTTATGTGGCATTAATACACCCAATCTCATTAATAAGAAAATATTTCATTACATTTTTTGGGTTAATTAAGACAAAAATTATTATATTTTATGTTAATTGATTAATAATTATATTCTTTATTGAATACTCCCTCTGTTTCGTTTTAAATGTCGTTGTAGGGTGTCAACTTTTTTGCAAATTGATTGTCGTTGGAAATATTATATTCATTCTTACATCTTTATTCTCTTTAACAAACATTATCTCTTATCATTATCTTTAAAAACCACCCATTAATAATTCAAAAACTAAATTTAATAAGATTAAAAGATAAGATTATTACACAACCAATTAAAATCGTAATTTAGAAGTTTTAAATTAAAATGACATTTAATAAGAAACGGAGGGAGTAATATAATAGTTAATATTAAAATTAGTAATTATATTTTATACTAAATAATATATGACAGTTACATAAAATTATATTTTACACTAAAATCAATATTTTTTTTATATGATGAAGATGATGTTTATTAATAAATTAATTTTTTTTATGTCATAGTAAAATTTCTTAAAATCACATGAGTAATTGTTATAATAAATGTAATATTTTTCAGCTAATTAATTGGTCATGATCACTCAAAATTATAAAAAGTAAATATTTATTACATTTTATGCAATCGTGAATTGTCGTGTGTACTATTTATTTTAACCAATGATCCAATTTTAAAATATAATACTATTATATAATTTATAATTTTAATATTATATACATAAATATAACTTATAATACTATATGTTTGAAATATAATACAATTATATAACTTATAATTTTTATATTATATACATAAATATAACTTATAATATTTAAATTTATTTACATCTGTGCAAATGCACAAGGTCGAATTCTAGTAAATACTAAAATGAAGAGGGTTTTCCATGCGGATAGTCACCACAATTGAACAACTGTTCAAAACATCATGAAACAGCGAATGGCTATCAGTATGAGCAAATACACCTTCTAAGCCAACTTGTCATCAAATAATTTATTGCGGAAACAGCAAAAATAAGTCTACTTATGAAGGCCCAAACAATTAGATTCTTCTATATAGGATTACAAAATATATCATAGTTAGACTAACTAGATCCACAATTAAATTCTAATTAGTCAATTTAATTATTTTCCAAGTGCAAGATGAAAAGCACATTTTGTTTATTAAACTATTCTAATTAGATTGTGCAAGATGACTAGGTAATTCCAACAAACCAAAAACTTAATTGTGGAGAGTGAGAATAAAACAGAATTTATTGTACTTGTAACTCACTCAGCAGCAATGAACTGTCCACTGCGATGGTGTAGCCTCTCCTGATTATGTTCAAATTAAATCACTTGATCCTCAACAAATTAAAGTGACTTGTAAGAATGCAAAGGTGAGAAAAGGGTTAGTACTAGACCAGAAATGTCAGACTTTAAAGAATTTCAAAGTCGAGTGAGAGAAAAGTTCAAACTTTACACTCTCCTTTGTCTCCATGAGAATGAAAAGAACTAATAGCAGTTCAAGATTCATCAGCCAGAAGGATTTTCTCTTAATATACATGAATGTTAATCAAAATGGGTTCTGGGTCAATCCTTAATTTTCCTTGGCTTATGGTATGTTCCAAATATCAAGAATAGATAGCTATCATCACTTCATCATTTAAAGAATACAACAAACCTAACCATACAAGTAAAATGATAAAGAAGAGCAGACTGTCTCGAACAAGCTAAACACTTATAATTCATTAGAAAGCATTTTTTCCCCAGATGGGATTCATTCGAACAGATCAAGCACATGAAACCAAGAAAATCAAATCAGGATTCTGTCTAAATCCACTCTCAACTATAACTTCATCACCTCCACTGGTTATTTCAAACATAACATTTCCCAAGGGATTCGGAAAAAGAAGCTCGATAGAGACACTGACTTTATATGCATCTCTAGCTCAAAATCAAAATTTCAATCTCATAACAATAGAGTGCCAAAGCACGGAAGCTAAGCACCTGTAAGATGTAAGCATTTGAGAAGCCGATGGTAACGAGAAAGAGGAGCAGGTGATGGTCGATCCCGCCGGCGAACTTAACAGGACGAAGATTGGAGTAGACGCAAAGAGGGTTGAGGATACGACAACGGCAAACTGATATCAGACCGGCCCAAAGATGATGATTGACGGAGGAGATTAAGAGTGATGTTTCTTTCTTCTTTCTTCTTCTTTTTTTTTTCTTTTTTTCTTTTTTGTTTTTCTCTCACCATCCACCTTACCTAACTCTATTTTTTTTAAGTTTTATATTTCAAATAAAGTTATCCACCTTACCTACTTATACTATCAAATATTCAATGTCATATTTTGTTAAACTTTGTGTATAATTTAATTAAAATGACATTTTTTAATAAAAATATGTATTTATGTATAGAAGAAACAACTATTTTCATTCAAGAACATTAGTTAATTTTGTGACACCGTCAATTAATAAAATATCTTTCTTATCCCATTAAGTGTGAAACAAACAATGCATAAACTACAAGACATACAAACAAAAATAATTGATAAAGTGAAAAATATTGAAGCGATATACTCTTTAGGTAGATTGGGCCGCTGGGGTGGTCCTCCATGGGTGCACGGTTCGGGGCTTCTCCGGTCATCCTGATCCCTCCGCCGACGTTGAAAATCATTGTAGTACAGATATGGGCTAAGAATCGCCTTCTCGTCAAATCTTTCTAGGTGGATCGAATTTGGCCACAATTTTTGGGTGTGCTGTTCCAGTTTGCAAACTCTTTTGGGTTTCTTTATTATGGGGTTTGGCTCGGGTTCCAGAATGAGCGACTTTGTGTTTTGCGGCCTTTTGCCTGCATGGTTTAAGGAAGGTCTTATTCCATTTACTGATTAAGTGTTTGTCGTTCTTGTTTTTCTCTTGTTTTCGTTTTGTATAGTCCAACTGCTTTTGGCTTTTAATCTCCTATATGGAATTTGTGTCTCCTTTTTAGAGTTTTATTCTAGTTTGTATCTCTTGTATGGAGTTTATACCCTCACTTGTATAATTTCAAAAGGGTTGGTCCATACTTTGTTCTGGTTCCGGTGGTAACTTTTGACAACTCAATTGTACTCTTTTGAGCTTTTCGTATTTAGTATAAATATCGTTTGAGAAAAAAAAAAAAAAATATTCTCGCATTCCTTTATATATCTATTTTGGTAAAGATTCTAAAATATGACTAGCTTGTTGAAGCCATACAAATTAATGTTCTGGAGTGATTGAAAAAATATTGTAGTGCGAGGATTTGAGTTGTGTAGTGAATTAACTACATCTCTATTTTATATAAGCTGATTTCAACGTGTAACAAATCCCACAAAAGGAATAAATTACACGTCTAAAAGCCCCCAAATTTTAAATCCAGAAAAAGAATGAAAACCCAAACGACTGCCAAAAGCTAAAAAAATAAGAACATAGCAGACTTCGAAACCAGTATGAAAAAACTAAAAAGAACTCAAAACATAAGAAAATAGAATAAACAAATACCTATCTTGCTCAGCCTCAAGGTTTTCGCCCATATGATTTATATGTAAAAGTTATTATATACTTCCTACTAAGAAAAACTAATCTGCAAACAAACTAATAGCCCGTAATGCTACTCAACAATAAGTAAATTGTTCTGCATGAACCCCTCGCCAATAGTGGGGAATTCAGGTGACAGTTTCCATTCCCCGTCTACTAAAAATTTTATTTCATACCTTCAAGACATTTGAATATTTTATATAAGCAAGTGCCCTAAAAATAAAAAAAAAAAATAAAAAACTGTGACTGATTATGCATAAAAAATAGCATTCTTGTTCTAATAGTACCTTCCGGGTCTAAGCGCCAATGTAGTCGAAAATGTCGTGTATGAATCTATATATTCAGGTGATAGGTGTTCTCCTTGGCTCCAGCCATCAAATGAGCCCATTACATGCACACTCTATAATCCAATCGTAAAAATAAAGTTAACTTTCCAATTTTCCATGATTTATTAGTACTTGCCCACATACTCTGAAACCCAACAGAAAAATGATGAAATATTCAGGTATAGGAAAATCGTCTCAACATTTAGTGTCTTAATGTATGCCGAAAAAATGGTCGGCTGAATGCAGATTTTAATGCAAATGATGATTCATTTGGTTAACAGGTCAAATGTGTAATCATTGACCGCAGCCAGCAAGTCATGCAACCTTAGTCAATTGTACTTATTAAATCTTCGAAACTTTGTAGTTGACATAATGTACTAGGATATCTTCATGTATGCTAAAAAACATAAAGAAAACAAGGAAAATATTATATTTGTAGTATAACATAACAATCATGCAGCTTTCTACAACTTGATGCAGAATTTTGGATATTAACACTATACGAACAATATATAAAATAAGGGAACATATATTTTTCATGATGCTAGTCATGGATTAGAACAAATGGCAATGCACATGTGGCAAATTGAAAGAGAACCAAACCTAATTATAAAAGAAGGTACATTTCCTGTGTTAAATTTACCTCTGCCACACCATGCCAAAATAAGGGAACCTCTTTGGATTGTGCAGCATCCACATCCTTGATCTGCGCCTCCAACTTTTCTTGGACAGCTTTCGTATTGTATAAAATATCAAGTTTGGGAGGAAATCAAAAGGACGAAGGAAAGGAAAATAAGGAAAAAATGAGTCTAATAAAAGTGACATCACCATCATCATATTATCTGGCCCCTCAAAAGGAAATGCGGGCTGGGTTGGGCAGGCATAAGGTTCGAGAATGGGGTCTTTCCTTATGATTCGAATAAGAAATGAGTGTTTAATCTAGCATCATGCAATTTGAGCTGTTTGTTATGGAGAGAACACAGGGTATTCAAAATATGTTCTAATATATTTACAATGGTGCAGTAGTTTGCTTCACCTCGTCATGGTGTGAGTGGTTATGATCTTGCTCAATGTGTTTGAGAATAAAAGTGCAGAGACTTCCAGGTGTGTTTGAAAGACGAAAATAAAAATGCTCACTTTTTTAACAACCATAAAGTAGAAAAGTAGTTTACTTGCTGTATACCACAAAGACAAAAAGAAAGAAAGAAAGAAAGAAAGAAAGTTAAACTTACCTTCCAGCCGTGAAAGGAGGTGAGATTGAATGTATTTTCCATTAATCTTTTTTGAACCTTTTGGAATATTGTAACTAGCAATTTCTTGTGCCAAGTTAACCAAAGCCTGCAGGTGAAATGAGTTTTTCACTTTACATTTGAAAAAAACACATGATCCTAAACTACATATTACAGAGTTCCAGTTACTTATATTACCTGAATCTCAATCTCTATGACAGCAAGTTCGCTCTTGAAATTAACCAGAGCATCTTCCTTCACTTGTAACTGCATTGAAAAGTGCCTTCAAGAGTTATGCTAATCATGCGATTTGTATCAAATACTTAACTCACTACTCAATCCCCTGCAAATAATAAGGTATATTGCCATAACAACATAAATCACACCCCCAAATTTCAGTGCATCATCATTTGACCTTTTTCCGAGTGTGACAGTCACTAATTCACACAATGAAGAAATATTTGTCTTCCATCTCAACCTGGCGTTTGAGAAACCTATTCTGTTGATTTGCTTCACTCAGTTTCCTTATGAGCTTCGATCTCTCAGAATCAGCGAGTAACGCCTTCAACTGCAAATAAATGACAAAATTAAAATTGTTAATTATGATTACACATTTGACATGCTAAGCTGATCGAGTAATAGTACCTCTTCACTGTTGGGTGGTCGTTCAAGGGGTGAAGTTTCCTCCTCATCCTCGGACAAATCTTTTGACTGTAATGCTGAAAATTCTTCCTCCAATCCAAGGGGTGTACAAAATATCTTCCGATTCACTTTGTGACCAGGAATTGAAATCCCATTAGGTTTATTGAAATCTTTTGCACCCAATCTGAGTTGAGCCTTTTCGATTCTCTTCGAATACAACCTACCAATCAACCACACATGAATAACTATCAACCGCTCAAAATTAACCTTTCAAGCAGTGAACATTCAAAGGATTAACAAAAACAAACATGAATAATGTCACCTGGCCAAACATGGTGGCAACGCAGTGCTCATACTCGCACACGACTCATACACTCAAAAGGATGGAATAAAATCAGTCCAACTTATAGCGACCACACAAAAGGTCGACATATTTTATTTGACTTAGTAAAATGAATCAATGAAGGAGCGGGATAAAATTAATCAATAACTTACAAGGTTTAACTTTAAGCCAACTAGGTGTGTTCGTATGTGCAGCTATTGATCACCTCAATAGGGATGACAAAACAACCTCGACTCCACCTGACTCAAGTCACTCAACCCACTCCGGAGTATTTGGGGCATGACAAATTTGTTTCATTTCTACAACGGGTCGGGCTAGGTGTGACTCGTAAGCTAAGCGGGTCAAGTCTCGGTCTTATATCTCAGCCTGCCCTACCCCGGCCTGATTTTAATTTTTTGAATATAAATTATATATAATATATAAAGTAAATTAAGAAATAGGGATTAGGTTTAGACTTCAGAATTTTTGGTCTGTACTTTCTTACACAGTCGTAGTGCCGCACTCTGTCTCTATCTCTCACGCCCGACCGTCGCCTCTCCTCTCCTTAGTCCTCACGCTCGTCGCCGCTCCTCAATCCTTACGCTTGTCGCACTCCGGCGTCTCGACACCCTCTCCTCACCTCCGAAGTCCGACACAAAAGCTCCGGCTACTCCGCACCTTCCCCTCGATGCCTTGCCTCCGACTTGACTCCACTTTCAAATTCTAATGGTAATTACTACATTTTTTTTTTTTTAAATAGTAATCAATCTCTTTTCTTTTGTAGTTACTTCTCTTTCTTGAAGTTCGAGCATTGATGTTGAAGCTTATTACTAGTTGGTATAAAAGCCTCCGACCAGCTGGAAATCAACCTGCTCACGTGCTTCATCGCGGTTGAACGCCTTTAGACCTACAAAAATTCTCATAGCGGAGGGAGTTTTTCGGTGAAGAGCCTACGATGCTTAAATGAGAATGTGTAGAAGATGCATTCCAAAAAATATGAAGTAAAAATGGACGTAATGAGGTAAAATCGCACATCTCACCCTAGGGGTGAGGTACCTGCTTCTAGAAGGCTGCCCAGATGAGGTGAGCTGGCTGCCCAAAGTTGCCCGGGCTGCTCAATAGTACAACCTTTTGTGCATAATGTGTTAGATACGGATATAAGGTGTGGACCAATGAAGAGGTGCCACGTGGTTTTACCCATGTGGGGCTTAATTCCCTTAAGATTCATTCTTATCCTTTAATTTTTTGTATTAGACCACTCAATGGTACGACAAGCTCCAAGTCAATTGAGGTAAAGCGTTGATGGCTCCGAGTCTGAGTTTCGGTCGATCGAACGTCCATTTATAACTACAGGTCGAGTTTCGACCAGGCCATTCGGAGGCCCTGGCTCGACATGTCCTCGTTGTATCGACCCTTAGGATGTCTTCCAGATCGAAGGCTCTTAATCCCATGATGCTCGACCACGGCCACTCTGTTCCGATTCTGCTCGATCAGACGATTCGTTCGGCCTACTCGTCCGGATTACTCCTTTAGGTATGGTATCCCATATAAATATTGATTAATTTACTANAACAATGAAAAATAGATAATTCAGTCATATTATTTTTTGGACTAAAAGGATAGATTCCATGAAACTTGGTCATATAATATTTTTGTCCCTATTATAACGAAATTCTGACTATACCGGATCCCTTCATTCTATTTGGTTTAATTTACTTGATTTGTTAGGTAGTTTTAGGTGTATTCGTTTAGGATTTCAAATAACATTTTGAGACTTTTTAAGATTTGAGACCTTAAGATTTTTAGATTTTGAAGGAATTTTGTGAAATCTTAAATATGTAGGTGGGATTTGGTATAAGGTTTTTTCTTTTAAAATTCCAGCAAATCTTAAAAAGTCTTAACAAATCATAATCTCAAATAAGTTAAATACTTCCGCATTTTATTAGTCTTTTTAAAATCTCAAATAAATACCCAAACTTTTTAAAAGTCTTAAAAAATCTAATTAAATACACCATAATTTCTAAAATTGTTAAAAATCTTTAAAAATTCCAAATGAAAACACCTCTAATTTTTTTCTCATTTCATTGGGTATTATAATCTTGAACTTCTACCTAACCAAATTATAGAGAATAATTTGACTCAACCAAATTCCAAAATCACCAGCTCATTGTTAGTCCAACCAGGGTTATCACGGAAATAGTCAAACGGCCGTGCTTTCATCCTTAATAATTAAAATCATCCCCATCAATGTCAATCGGGCAATAGTAATTAAATTGATTTCCTGCATTTTTCAACTCCCTTTTTTCTAATTAACACCTCTGTTTTGTTATCTTAAAATCATCAGAGAAAAATCGATGGAAAATTTGCTAGGTTTACTGAAAATAAATGTTGTAAGAGGAGTAAACCTTGCTAAGAGGGATGCACGAAGTAGTGATCCCTACGTGATTGTTAAGATGGGCAAGCAGGTACACATTTATTTTTCTTTCAGTTTTCAATGATTTCCCCTGTTTCTGTTTGATTTATTTATTTTCTGGTTTTGTTTCGTTTTTTTTTTCTTCAGAGAACGAGAATAATATCTTTAAAGTTTGGATTGTGGTTGATTTGAAATAGAAAACTTATCTTTAAAGTTTGGAGCATGATTTTCTTTTGCACTTGAGGGTCTATTTCAGGTTACCTGCAAACTCGGGTTGCTTTCTCGCATGTGAAAATAAGTTTCATCTTTTTCTTAACGGGTGTATATGTTCTTTAATTTTTCTATGTCAAAGCATCTCTGGATGTTGAAACCGTGACAATGTTTTTTTTATATATATATTTTTTTTTTAAATTTGGACCAGAAATTAAAGACTCGTGTGGTGAAGAGCAATGTGAATCCCGAGTGGAATGAAGAACTGACACTATCAATTTCTGATCCACATCTGCCAATTAAGCTGGTAAGACTTTGTGTCTCTGTGCGTTATAGAAAGACTCTAGGCCAAAATTCCAACATTAATCCAAAGCCCTTATGAGTTTCACATTTCACAAAGTAGTCCTTGAATAAGTAGGTATGATATTGCCAAATGGTCCTCCAAAGTCCAAAATGTAATACGAATGGGCCATTGAACTTGTACATGATTTGAGTCGTAGTTTGAGGACTCATTTGAATACAGTGTTTTTTGCTGGCATATTTTGCTAAAGACTTCCATTGTTACAAGACTATTTTACAAATTATGTATTTGAAAACTACTTTCTTGTACATTTGCAGCAAGTTTATGATAAGGATATGTTCAGCCTAGACGACAAAATGGGAGACGCAGAGTTTGAACTTAATCCATTTTTAGATGCCGTTAAGATGCACCTGGAGAAGGAGAACCTTCCTAATGGGACTATAATTACAAAGATTAATCCAAACAGGGAAAACTGCTTATCCGAAGAAAGCTCAATTGTTTGGGAAAATGATGAAGTTATTCAAAATATGTTTTTGAGGCTTAGAAATGTGGAGTGTGGTGAGATTGAGCTCAAGTTAAAGTGGGTCAGAATTCCGGGCTCCAGGGGCTTGTAGAAAATGCTATTATATCTATATATATACACAAGCCAAAATGTTGATGTGCCTTATGTTATATTTATTTGCTCGTGAACATGATAATAAATCAAAATTCAACTAAATCTTTTATTTCATGTTTTTCGTTATTTGGCTGCAATTAACTTGCCATTTTCTGTAGTTTAAACAATGGACTGCATCAATTTCCCTTGTCCCACATTGTTTTTCTACACGAATTATCGTGTACTAATCATTATTATTAATTAATTCGGTGAAATCTGCAGATGTGTTTTCCAACAGCGTATGCAATATTGGATTGAAGTTTCTTTATTCAATCGTTGTGTATTGAAAAAATCATTTTCTATAAACTACTTGACTGGCTCCAGCCAAATTCTTTATTCGATTTATGTGTTGTGAGAATAAATCAATATTGTACTATATCATTTACTTGTATGATATCTAAATCTTGGTGACTATTCTTGACTGATGAATTGAATCCAAATTAACATTTGAAATTTTAGTATAGTGCATTTATAATAATGTTTGATGAAATGTGTGGCTGATAATGTGAACCAATCTTCAATATATACACACCTATATATATATATATATCATAAATAATTATACGCATTATTTAATATTGGTGATTATATAATATAATGCATACATTATTTGATTGGGCAACACCACAAACAAACTGCCTTTATTATTTATTACATACTCATCACCAATAATCCATGCATGGCTTCTCTCATCTTATGTATATAAATATAAATATATGTTGAACTTGAATTCCCTTCCCTCAAAAAGAGAACTGAAGGTAGATATCAAGTGCTCTGATGATAAGGTCAATTACACCCTTAATTATATTAGTGACATCCTCAGACACTTCCTTAGAATCCGCAAACTGTAGACTCCAAGTGATGTTGCCATTGTTGACGGTCACCTTGATCATTAGAGCTGTGTTCTTATCATTCTTATTTTCTTGCACCACTCCAAAGGTTATCGACCTCTTCGCATCATCTATTTTCTCAGCCTTCAACTTTATAGTTATTTTCTCACCTATATATATCATGCATTCAAATTGGTGGTGAATAATATAAACAAAATTTGAATTTTGCATAATTGCCCCTCTAAGTGAGAATTAACAATGATGCACTTCTCGTTTATAAGTTGGTTGATGCATATGGAATGATCGATACATTCATTTTTCTTTTAAGTAAAGAAGTGTATACTTATACTATTATTGAATGTAAAGAAGTGTATACTCGTACCATTTGAAAAGAAGTAGTATACTTATACTATTATTGAATGTCATATTCTTTTATGTTGTTTTTTTAAGTATGATATTTTTTAATTAAACGACTCAAAAATTGATAGAAGTTGCAAATACATACCAAAAACAAAGAGTTCGTACTGTATGGTACCCCCAGGCTGCCCTGCCTTTCCATCAACAACTTTAGCACTATTGAACAGCTGAGGAGCAACTTTGTTCATATCCTTAAGATCATATTTGAAGAAATCATATGCCTTTTTTGGGGAGCTCATGATCGATGTCCGGTCCTCTATTTTGACTGCCTGGGCCATTTTTATTAATTTTATTTTTCACCTCAAAGCTAATATTATATAAATAAAACAAGTTTTCGTATATATTATGTTGTCTCGCAGTGCATCCCAATTGCTATATCTTGTGGGCTATTTATAGTCCAGTTTGTCTTGCATAAAGTAATGAATCAAAGGAAGTTTGGACATCAGAATGTGGGCTGGGGCCACAATTAAATGAAGTTACAAAACGTAGGGTGTGATTCAATAACAATCCAACTAACAAAAAAAGAAAAAAGAAAAAAGAAAATCAAAACTCAAATTTAACTCAACTTTAATCCAATCACACTATCCTCCATTTCAATATAATTAAGTAATATCAATCAATTATCCTTACATATCAAATCAACATTAATTCACTACTAGTACAGAGCCCGTGCGATGCACGTGGTGCACAATTTTAAGGCTATTTATCAAGACTTATAATTATATACATGAATAAAGAAAAATATACGGGATATATATAGTACGTGACCCGTGCGAAGCACGAGATATATTTATTTGAAGAATATTATATTATAAGATGCAATATTCAATAAAAGTTTATAATACGTAAGAAAATTGTACAATGTTCAATAAAAGTTTTATAATATTCAACTTGTACATTAAGACTACTGACAAAATAATATTTTAATCAATGAGTTTCCTTTCCTTGTAGCCAAATTGTGAATGTGATTTGAGGAGTACAACAAATCGATATATAGCTGACTTGCTTTTTTCATTGTAGTTTTTTTCTTTTTTTTTTTTTTATAATGAATTTAGAGATATTCTAAGATATAGCAAAAATTAATTTTTTTTATTACAATTAGGAATTTTACTAAATATAAACTCTCAATCTATGGTGTTAATCAACGTTTAAGTCTAAAAAATTAGGAATTTTTACCTCTTTTAATCAACGTTTAAGTCTAAAAAACAATAGAGTTATTATAAGTTTTTTTTTTACATCTTTTAAAACATTAAATATGAGCATGTTAGGGCTAGCTTGTAAAATAATTAATATATTATCTCACTAAAACATTTATACTAATAAAAATTTAATTTTAGCATATAAATTTATCCCTTGATATAAGAGAAAGTAACAGTTTTACTTATTGTTGTTCACCATATAATATTTAATTATTATTTTATTATATAATAAAAAAGAAATATTGTTAAATAGTGTAGTAGAATTGTTATAAAATTGATTTTTTTTTTTACAATATAGATTTAATATTTTTTTATGATTTGATAATATAAACAAATCTATACTTAACTTTGACAAATAAAACAAATAAATACTTTAGTAAGTATTTAATGTATATACTAAATAGGAATATATTTGGTATAATCAAATACCAAATATAATCAAACAAGTCAAAGTGTACATTTTTATTTGGTATTTGATTTTTTATTATTAAAATTTTTTTATTATACTTACATTTTGAAAATAAAACAAATAAATAAATCAATTAAATAAATAAAATATTATAATACCAAAATAGTAATAGCATTTAATGCAGTTGACTTTTTTAGATAGTAAATGTAGTAAATAGAATCTCCTTTTATATAAGTATAGATTGTATAATCGGAAATAGTAATGCAATAAATGTTGTTGACTTTTTTTTATACTAAATATGGTAAATAGTATACCTTTTAATATAAGTATAGATTCATCCACTCACATAATTTTAACTACCTATCACTTCCAGTCACATTTCTTTTACTTTTCCATCAGATCAACTTTAATTATGTAAAAAAAATTTGGTTTTATACCGATTTTACAGTTCCATTTTTCGTAAGTGGAAGACTTAGAAAAATTTCAAAACCATTTTAAGGTGAATGGTAAATTAATTTTAAGTTGTATATCTGGGAAATGTGAGGTTGAAGCAATGAGTTTAAGTAACTCAAATTGTTGGATTCGTAAAACATTATGTCTTTGACAAGTGTTAGGACAATCCAAACAAGACCTGATCATGCAATTTTCATGCTAGAACTCTAGGGGAGTTCGTTGCAGATAAGTAGGAAAAAAACGAAACTCGATTCCGAGTCCATATGAGCTCGTACGAGCCCGCGGTGTACGGGCGCGCAACTGGCTGCAGACACCGAAAGGTTGCAACCCTTAGTAACTATAAGGTGTCTCTTAGCCTATAGATGCATTCGTTCTTGTTCGGGTATGTCCCAAAAGGTGTCTTTTGACACTTAATTTTTTTGGAGATTTTTTTCTACATCTATAAATACCCACATAAATGAAACCATTCAGAACTTGAAAATAAGAGAACTCTTGCATTACTTTTCAAACGTCATATAGCATATTGTGTTCTTTGATATTTTAAATTGAGACTTGAGAGTTCCAAACAATAGTAGTGTTCGCCTAAGTCTTGTATATTTGAAGTACCGCTATATACAAGTCGAAAGTTGTTGTATCTTGGAGGCGTTTGCGGTTAATCGTGGGTATTTTACGGGGCAATTTCGTCTTAAGGAGAATGTAATTATTACGTGCCTCGTCTTTGATTTTTGTTTCCTTTTCTTCATTCTTCTTAAACCGTCTTTTTGATATTCACAAACCACAAATATACTACAAATTATTTAATTTTAAATTTTATTTTAATACAAACTCAAAATCACGCTCAAACCTACCAGCGAGTGTTAAGCGAGCCATGTCCTACCAGCGGGCAAACCCGCACACGAGTGCCCAACCGAGACATGCCTGCTCAACAGACCAACCCGCACCAAGCGAATGCACCCAACTCATAAAATCTACTTGATTGGGGGTATAAAAACAATCGTCCTTCACATTTTTCAGAACACGAATTCATTTGCTCCTTTTAATTTTTATATTTTCTTATTTCACTCTCTGTTTTTCTTTCTGTACATGCTCCAACATCCAATTTTTATTATTTTTTTATATCTCAAGGATAAAGAGGTACGAGCCTATAGAACAGATCCTGTTCAAGTAAGGTCATAGCCAATTTTTATTGTTTTACTTCTCTATCAGATAGCAACTTTTCAACCCTTTTTTTTTCTCGTGGATGTTACTTTGGACTTTGAGATTTAGTTTAAGGTTCAATATCTCGTATGTTATCTTGACTTTTCCTAGTAATATTATAGGGATATTTTCTTAAGGAAAATTGTGATTCTCTTGCTTGATTTTTCTTACTTGTATTTATTCAATCTTTTAATTGTGTTCACTTACCATAAAAATAACTAATCCAACTAGCGATTAGAGTGTTTAATTAAGACATAATTTTTCCTTTTTGTGAATCAATCGTTGTCCAAGTTCAATTCCGATTAGTTTTTCTCAAGAGACACGGCCTGAGGTCGAGCTTCATCCCATACTCGGCTAAATATTACAACACTCATCTCACCTAAAGCCATATCGGTCAAAGAAAAATATGAGATTATAAAGTTAATTTAATTTTACGGAACCATGTTGGACCTTGTATTAATAGATCTCTAGAAGCAACTCATGTATTGTAAAACTAGGCATTGTTTCTATATAAATTATGTAATGCTTCAATTTGAACGAGGTATTGTATCTATTACAGTGATGCTACAAGTTTTGAACTAAAATGAACTACAAGTTTTGAACTAAAATGAACTAAGGACATTTTGTAATGTTATTTTAATGCAAGATGAAGAGGTTGTTCTTTAAATTTATGTGCAGGAATTGAAGAGAAAAATGAAAGAGGGAGTAGAGATGGACCTAATTAAATTCTCCATATTTTTTTTTACTATGACTTATAAACGTGATATATTTATGTCTTACTTATGGCCCCATCAGTAAATATCCAAACCCCCCATCGTTATTGCAAGCACAATTCTTTGACGTGGTGCTTGGAAAAGAGATTCATATTCTTTAGCAGATAAAAAGATGAGACGTAAAGGTATAAATTATTGTGAATCACTTAAAAACTAGTATTCGACCTGTGCATTTGCACAGATATAAATAAATTATTGTGAGTCTGTATGCATATAATGATTAATTATTTTTCTTTCACTTTTTTGCCGACCAAATTTACAATTAAAAGAGTTGGAATATTATTTTTTTAAATTGCGTTTATCTGATTGGATGTAATATATATTTTGGTACGTCTTTTATTTGTGAATTATTTATTATTTATTTAGGAATTTCAAATATATTTTTTATTTTAAAAAAAAAATTAAATGTAACAACAATAATAACATCTAATCACATTATACGGTCAACACATTATATGGTCAACTGTCATTAATCAAAAGTTTAAAATAATTTTTGTAATTTTGAAGTGATGAGTATTAATTATTTAATGATTGAATGAAATATTAAATACATCAAAATGTAACGGTTTTTGGAGGGAAAATTGTTAAATTGCCACATAGGTAAAATTAAATAGGTTTTATTAAATGTTTTGAGCTAGTAATTATATATATATAGATATGTCCAGTGCGTGGGCTCAAACTGTAGCGGTCCTTCAGTTGAAAGGAAAAAATATATGGTGAGGTTTTAGTGGCATTCATATGGTACCACTCCTGACTGTTAATTGACCCAACCAACTTTTTATTCATTGAGAAAATGTAAAACTAATACTGCCTCCCACGCCATTCACATATATTGATTGTTTGTTAATAGCGATATTACAACACTAATATTACTGTATCGATTTTCATTTAGCGCTTATGTCACGTATTTACAGGCTAAATAAACAGACTAAAGCTCACTCCAATACACTACAAAATCTATATATATTTAGAAAAAAATGATTCATCAACAAACAATAAAATAAAAGTGGAAATTGCCAACAAAATAACAGTCGTCTTTTGAAAATTTTTTTCTCATCTCCCCATGAAATCGTCAATGTTCATAAATTATAGTGTAAGGGAATCTATTTTCCTACTTAAAGGCTAATTATGAGCAACATACTGTATACGATGTTATTTAAAAAGTATGATAAATCGTCTGGCTGTAGTCTGCCTCACATAATAATTTATGTAGAAAATAAATTTCAAGAATAAAATAATACCAAAAGAGGAATATAAAAAGTTCTTTACCAAGTATAGGCATCCGAATGTCTATATATTAAATATTTTAAAGTGGAATGTGTGTACTAATTATTCTTCTAGAATTATGTTAGTGTCTCAAGAATAATTCCAGAAAATTTATCTAAGAAAGGGATAGTAGGATGCTGTTTTTAACCATTTTTAGTGATCACAGCATGAAATGTCCTCTGTCCAGCATATGTCATGTTTAGTGACAGCTATTCGAAATTAGTGGATTTTGTAATCCTTATCACCACTATTTTAATGAGTTGTCCTCGTCACAACAGTATACTCCTGATAATTCCAGTGTGTGGCATAATATTGTTAAGCAGTGCCTACACGTAAAAATATATGACAAGTTTAATTTTAAAGTGGGTCATTGACAATGATATTATAGCGCTTGAACGCATTAAACATAGTATAACAAGAATTGAGGGGGAAGAAATTTGGAATTTGAGATTCAGGGAAGAGATGAGGAAGAAGAAAAAATTGAAGAATTTTTTAGATTTTGGAATTTGAACGTACGATCAGATTTTGGGGTTTGGGGCTATTTTATAGATCAATTTTGGGGGGATTAATTACAATTTAAAAAAATTATAAGTTATTACAACTTAGATTCTTTTTGGGGACAATTTGTAATTTGTTTAAAATACGAAAATAGCTGCACTTTTATAGTACATATTTAGATAATACACAATGCATATTTTAGTTATAAAAATGCATACTTAATTGAGAACATATAAAGTTAGTACAAGGCTTTAGGATATTGTTGTAAATTGCATATTTTTACTGTATATTTAGTTCATACGAAATACACATTTAGTTCATATATGAAGTGTATATTTAGTTTATATGCAATGCATAATAAGTTGATGTTATTGTTGCCCATTTAATTCATTAAAAATACATATTCAGTTCACACAAATGCATATTTAGTTCATATCAACTGCATATTTCAAGTGCAAATTTACTTCATACACAATTCATATATGAGTCAAAATTCATATTTAGCATACATATTTAGTTCATATCAGCTTCATCTTTCGCATACATATTTAGTTCAAACGACCAATATATTTTTTTATTATATAATTAATTTTATATAATATTTTTATGTTTCTTATTATATAATTACTCTAATACATAATGCATATTTAGTTCATTCATTATGCATATTAGGTAATAAGAAATGCATATTTAGTTCATCATACTGCATACTTAATTCTAGTGAGGTCCAATCATAACCATTTATTTGTGTACATCAATGACTCATATTAATAATTTACATTAATTATATAATAAAAACTAATAATTACATTTTAATTAATTATATAAAATGCATATTTAATTTCATATTTTGACTTCACATTTAGTTCAGGCAAAATGCACATTTAATTCACACGTAGTGCATATTTAGTATATAAACAATGTATACTTAGTTGATGTTATTGGTGCACATTTGATTAATTTTTATGGAATATCCAAACCCTTTAAAATTTCGTACACAATTACTATGGTAATAACTTTAAATTTTTTCATCCAACTAAATGTCCATAATCACTCAAGATTGTAAAAAAATATATTACCGCAATTGATATAGTGATTCATATTTAAGCGAAATAGTTTATATTATTATCGTTTATCTTTTTTAATAATAAAATTTATAATATGTGATATACTCATTATCTAACTTATAATTTGAATATTATATAAAAACAATTTTATAACTTATAAACTTTTATTTGCATATGTGTGTGTAAATAGGATCAAGTACTACCTATTAAAGTATCAAAAGTTGAGAAGTTAATTAACGTAAAACTAAGCGCTTAAAGGGCGTGATAGGCTACAAACATTTAATGGGATTTGATTAAATAAATAATTTTTTACACTACTTAACTCAAAATTCAACTCAAATCAATTCTAACCGAACTCTTCAAAATATTATTAATATAATTAAATAATACAAATAGTCATTTTTATAAATCACATCAACTTTAATTCACTATTCATCTATACATATATTCTTAAGTACGTACCTCTCATTTCCAATAACTTATCTCCAATTTTTACATCACATCAACTTTTTTTTAAATATATTTAAATACAAATTCAAAATCTCACTTAGTCAACTCTGTTTAAAATTAACTTACTTTAACCAATAAATCAAATCAAAACCGATTATATTTATATGCAATCTCCCCTCCATATACAAGCACAAACAAATCCTATTTAAAGTCCTTGTCTTTCCCTGTGAATTGGAATTCTTGGCACTGCATATTTCTAAAAGGAGAAAAAAAGAAAAAGAAGATTCTCTTGTTAAAAATGGTCCTTATTTATTCTTCATAAAAATCAACTCCGCAAATAAAAAGTTTACATTATAAAAACCCTGAAAACTAGCTTCAACCAAATAAGTAAAACCACATATCGTTTAATCTTTAAGGAAATAAAAAAAAAAAAAAAAAGGAATAAATTGAGTATGGCTCAAATAGGAAAATTGGAGGCCAAGGCTGAAATCAAATGCCCCCCAGCAAAGGTGTTCAACTTCTTCAAATATGACATGAACAAATTTACTGATATGTTTCCCCAGATCTTCAAAGGTGCTCAATTGCTTGAAGGAGAGGAAGGTCAAGCTGGAAATGTCAAGTCCTTTGATTATGTACTTGGTATGTGGTTGCTAACTACTAATAACAATTATATATTTATAGTTACTTGTTAATTTATCCTATTATCTACTCAGCTAACTACACACCTATATATTATATATCAATCATTGATCTTGAATAATGATTAAATTGCACATAATATTAAAATATTAAGTAATCATTAAACGCATAATCGCTTAAATTAAATTAGCTATTAATTTAGTTAATCCTAGAAAATTATATGATCACCACCACTTAATATAAAGATTAAAATATATATATATGTATTTTTACACACTCGCAAGTGCATTCAGGCAAGGCAATGAATGCGAAGGCAAAGACTGAAGCAATAAACGAGGGAGAACGATCCATAAGCCTTTCAGTCCTTGAAGGAGATATTCTGAATCTGTACAAGAGTTTTAAGGCCAAAATTAGTGTGGATGATGGCCATGTCACTTGGTGTATTGAGTTTGAGAAAGCTGACGAGTCTGCCCCAAATCCAGACGATTATGCGGCGCTTGCTGTTGAGATCACCAAAGGATTGGATCATTATCTTCTAAACAATATTAAATAATTGATAAGCTTAATTTGTGTGTTTGGATAATTATAATTACAACACTCTATAATTACTTCCAGAGGGAATTCAGGTTCTATGTAATAAGGACAGTTTGTACGTGCATCTTGCCCACTCAGAAAAACGTGTCTACGACTTTGTGTATTGATGATTAATATGGGAATGATTCGAAACTATTAAGCTTAATTACATATTGTTGCAGCTTCATTTGTGCATTTTTCATTTCTTTAGCAGATAATACTATTTTAGTTTTTATGTTTAGTATTTAGACCATGTACAATGGTTGTCTTAATAAGCAATTGCTTAGAATATTTTAGTATTATTTTGGTGGGACCCTGTGCCATTAAGCAATTCTATGATTTAAGCAATTCAATCCCACAATGGTGAATTTAAATTCTGGTTGAAGCAATTTTGGATTTCTCATCCTCTCTCTCATGTCTTGCGCCATTTTCTGGTTCATTGGCCCACAAATTCTGATTGCTTGTGGATTGCTTATTCAAGCAATTGCTTAACCTAAGCAATTGCTTGTCTTCTCTTCACAATGGAAAATTGCTTAAATAGCAATTGCTTATTTTTAAGCAATCAGTTAAGCAACCCCATTGTAGATGGTCTAACTTGTACGTATCTCTTGTGACGTAGGAGAAATTAATATTAATTAAAAGTAACTTTATAAATCCATTACTTAAAGACGAGCACTTTTATTAAACTTTTAGGGGAAATTAAATTATATCACTACAAGAGAAATATGTGTTTTACCAATGGAATGCTCCGTTGGTAATCAAGTTTCTCAACGAGGATTTTCTTGTTGTTATATGACTTGTTGTTAATTATTGTCAAGGGAAAATAAAATCAGTTGGAAAAAATTCCAACAGCTTACCAACAAATTTGCAACGGAAATACTCTATAACATTGGCAAGAGATTCTCAACAGATAATATAGTTGCTAAATAATTTCTTTGAATTAGTAACACAAAGCCAACATATTAGTTAGCAACAAATTACCAACAAATTTTTTTCCCAACAGATTACCAAAGAATAGTTTTCCAACGGGTTACTATACTCAAACTGTAAGCCAACAAATTATATAT